TTTCTTTAAGGAGGGGGGAGGAGATGGGAATGGTGGCTGGCTGCTCTAGTTTGGAGCATTAAATGCTCGGGAAAAAAATCTCAGAGTAACTGTTGTTTCTTTCTTTGTATTCACATGGAAATTTTTAATCTCCATCAAAGGATCAGGAGAAAATAACGTTGAGATTCAATAAGAGAGCTCCCAGCTTACATGGAATTTTTAAATGTTATTTGGCTTTATCCTTTAAGCGATGAGAACCATGAACTATGTACCTACAGGGTTCAGAATTAACTTTTCTCTTTCTTCCAACACACCCTTTTTTTTTTTTTTTCTCCTTCCCTTCTTCTTACATCTTTATTGTTCTGCATAAACATGCAGCTTCTTTTTGGCTAAAACTACAAGTGCCTTAGGATTTGTTTAGTTTTATTGATGTATACATTTCTAACATTAATTATGAGCACCAGTCTGAAATACCACATCATGTTCTCCTTTTGATGTGATCCGAAGAATCTCTATTGAAGGCCATGGAGCTAAGATCACAGCCCAACTACTGTGTGCTTACATAGTCATGCAAGAGCTACCATTAGATCTCCAAAAAAGAAAAAAAAAAAGGACAAAACTAGAGAAAAAAAGGCAAATAATCTGCCAGTTTGTAGTTGGGGACCACGAGAACTGTCTGCACCTGTGGAAATAGCTGTTTGTAACTCACCCATGGAGAACAGTGACAGATTTCACAGGTGGGTGCTGACAACAAGGGCAGATTTCACGCTTCATCACAGATTAATAAAAAAGGAAAGATATTAAAATGCTAATACTCATTAATACTATTTTATGGTGTTTAACATTAAACATGGAAAATTAAAATGAATGACAGCCGGTAAATGGAAGTGACAGTGTGGTGCTCAGCGCCTGAGGCTGCTGAGAAGTAGCTGCAGGAAAGAAAAGCTGAGGACGCCACCAGTCCTACTGTGGGTCAGGCCAAACACCTCCTTCCACCTAGATTTTTGCAAGATTACATCAACTTAAATTTATATAACTCTTCTATTTCAAAATATTTGATGAGATTTTTTTTCTGCCAGGATTGGTCAGAAGTGTTTTCTGTGTCATCTGACTATCTCCAGCAATACATTCATCTAAGAGAAGAAATCTCTCAGCCTCTTGGAATATGATCATGCAATGATTTATTTATTTATTTATTTGAGGTGATCATCTTTGTTTTTTTTCTCCCAAATTCTCATTCTGCTTCAGCTGGTTCTATTGCTCTTCTTTTCTTACTAGATTTAGTAACTTTGCCTTCATCACAGAGGCAGCTGCATTTCAGCAACAAGTAAAAGTTGGCCCTCTGTGGGCCATAATTTATGTGTGTGCGTAATGTAATAGAACAGAATATCACATGGATACAAATTTCAAATGTCCAAATAGACCTAATTCTGCCATATTACAGGCCATTCTAATTTTATTTATGGTCCGAACTCACTGAAAAAATTGACATAGCTTTGCTGAAATTTGGTATTTAAAGATTCAGGTTTTTCACACATGAAAATTTTTACTTTAGCACAATTATTAACTCTACCCATTTTGTAATGCACAAATCAGAGGATTACTGAGAAGACACTGTAGTACATCAGGACCAGGAATAAAATAATTCTAAAATCATGTCACTTATTTTTCTCTGATGGTGACAGCACTGGATAAAGTTGCAGTTGTTTGAATACATTTGCATTCCTTAAAATTTTAGATTTTAAATAAAGCTAATTGCGAGCACTCTAGGTTTATAATGCCTAAATCTGAGAAGAATTACAATTGCATTGCCTCTTGGAAAGTATTTCATTTTTATCCTTAAAGTTTTATCAAATTTGACCACTTTCAAAGCTATTGCTACCTCCCATTGTTCTCAAGGGGTTGAAGCCACATGGGTGTTCCAGGATTTTGTCTCCCTTCCTCTGCAAGCAGTAGTTGAAGAGCACTCTCAAATCTTTGACAGTTTAGTTGAAAACTTACTGCTTTCTGTTGAAGTGAAAACAGACATATAACTTTATTTTTTAAAATCTTAGCGAACGAAAGATCATGAAAAAAGGCTTGTCACTTTGGTTGGAATTTATGAAAGCATGTTTATTTTGGCAAACATTTCTCAAAAGCAGGTTCATTTTTATCCTCTCTACCCTCTAGATTTTCCTGTGAGGTGTCAGACCATGGCTACTCAGATTTGGCTTAGAGCTGGATTTCTGCCAAAAGTTTGTATGACCTCCTCTCCTACCCGCTCCCATTTCTTTTTCCCAGATATAGTACATTTTTCCTTATGTTGATCTTAGTGAGTATTTCATTCTCACTTCTTGGTGCTAAAGAAAATAACAAACTCAGACACCGGAGTGGTACCAAGTTTTAGAGGCTGAAGAGAATAAAAAAGCCTGCTTTCTTCTGAATATACAGTATTACACTTATTTCTTCTTAATATAGACATGTGAAGTTCAGGATTTTATTAAAATGTTTTTAATAGACTGGACAAATAACCTCTCTTTATTATTTAGAGGGTTTTTTTGCCTTTTTTTTTTTTCCTCTGGAATCTAGGTTACAGTCTAGTTGGTTCTTCCAAACTCTTGCTTTTTTCCCTTGATGAAGGCTCTACAGTTCTAATGCTCCTTTGTCCCTAATTTGTTTTGTAGCCCAAGCCAGATGTTTCTTGACAGTCTCCTGACACTGTTGTTGACACTCGCTCAAATAATATTCTCACGCTGTCAGTCTGTATATCCACCTTTGCAAGGTCTGACACAAAAAATCCCGGATTTTTATCACCGACTGCCTCACTGCAAACTCTGTAATGTTTTCCAAATTCCTTTAACAGTCACATAAATCCTGCTTAAAAAGCAAGAGGAGTAAACCTTACCACTTTTTTTTTCTTTTCCAGTAAGAAGGGTGAGTTTCTGAGCCACATCTTATAGATGACCCAGAGATTTACTCCATGTTTGCCGGAGGAATGTGGCTAGCACTTCAGAGACTTGCAGGGAAGCTTTAAGAATTTGGCCAAGAAAGAGTAAAACATAAAAAAACAGGCAAAGCTTCATCTTTCCCCATTTCCAGTGCTTTCATTTCCTACTGTGTTGTGTTGTCCTCTGCATCAGACTATTTAAGACTGCCAAATACTTGGGTATTTTATAGGTAATATATCTTATAAATGCCATGGCCAGCCTCTGAGGGAAACACAGGATTGTCGGTTTTGGACAGAGTATAAAACCCAGGCAGGAAATCATTGCAGAATGGCACAGCTGCAGGCAAACATTTCAAGCTAGTAAACTGCCCATCTGCACACCCACACGTGTGTCGGGATGCGAGGCCAAGACAGCCGCGGTGCGCGCGGCTGTAAACGGTTAGTGGGGAGAGATTTTGTGATTAAAAAATGAAGTGTTCTGCTTCATTAGTTCCTGGAATACAACTGTCTGAGGATGGTTATGGTATTATTTTCAAGAACAAGGAAAAATTGTAAACTGGAGCTGTTATTTCTCTTTAGAAAAGAAAAAATATGTTAAAGAGCAGCAGTTCAGATCTGGGCTGGTTCAGATGGTCCCACTGCAGGACGGATGATACAGCACAACCTGGCAGTGGAGACTTGAGGAGGAACTTTGGCAGGAAGGGCAAAAACCCTTTCTATGTTCTATGGTCAGGGCAGACTTGGTGATCACATCTGAATCTGAAACAAATTGTCAGTTTTTTTTGGTCCTCAGCTTGGTTTCCTCATGGTTCACCTTAACAGGCACCTCAAAGGGTTGTTTCTTAAAGTTTGAACTGTTTGAAATTCTGATTTTGCTGATCAAAATCCCTTTTGGGAAACTCATTCTAATACTTTCCTCTTTTGTTTAACCTGTAAGTAGATCCTAGTTTTACTGTTTTCTGTTCTAAATAATTCCTCTTTCTTTGTGGGCTGCCATTTGTTGTACCTTTATCAAAGCTCTCAATGCTTAGTTCTCCCAATACTTCATCAGAAAACTAGCACTTCTGAGTTAGCTTTCCACCTGCTTTTCCCTAGTGTTATTCTCATTAATCCATAATTTAGTAAATAAATGCAGATTGATAAAATAATGAAGTAACAACCATAAAACTGTTTTAAGACTACATGTCATGCACTACCACTGAGCAGCCATTGATTTGAAGATTGTTTCTAAACATTGTACTGAAAAATAAAAGTATCCTCTAATGGTCAAAAATAAAGTGCCAGGGCTAGAAACCCAATTTACAGTTGACTTTTTACTTTCTTGTTTGTCTGTTTGAAGGATCATCCTGATGCATAATGTATAAATCAGTGCAAGAAGGAAGATAATCTACTGGTCAGGGTTCTTGTTGCACATCGTGTACAGCTAAAGTTTTAAGAACCTTTCTATTGGCTGTGAGATATTTAGATTGGGTCGTCTAAAGACTCTGGAACTCTTGCTTCTTTAATGTGTTCAGATGTGTTCGTTACTCTTGGTTAAAGGACCAAATGTTTAAAATGTTCTTGATATTTCATGTGAGCAGCAGATGAGGACATTATTGTCTATGGTTTGCTGTCTTCATTTAAGGATCAGATATTTCAGATGTTCTTGAGCATTTCCGTGTTCATCACATAGAAAAGCTACCTTGATTTTTCCCCTTGTGCGCTCTTGTCTCTCTTTTCCTGTCAACTGATGCCATTTTTAAGCCATATAAATAGATTTTATTTGTATCAATACAGCGTTGGTGGTGTTCTGCATTATCTTTGCACACAAGCGTGAATTTCAAGATAATGTCATATTGACTTACAGGCATTTCTGTTAAACTGGGGAATTAGTTAAGAATTGCTTTTTTCTGAAACCTCTTTTATATTTTAATTCATTAAGATGGGACATGATTGGTGGATGCTGTCTTCTTACCAGTTGTCTAGGAATACCGGCATTTTGATTTATGATGACAAAAACTGTGCAAAATATTTGACAATGTTATGGTATGCAAAGAAAATAAAAGCATATAAGTTTTAACATTCGTGGACTTAATATGTGCATCTCCTTTCCCAGGACGATCACATCTCTCCGAAGTGAACTGATTCCACATCTGGTTAGGAAACAGTTCTCTTCTCCTACATCGTTGCAGCAGGGACAAGACAAAAACAAAGAGGAGGACCAAAAGAAAAAAGACCAAGCATCACTAGGTCAGTGTGTGTATCACAGAATTGGTAAATGTTTTAAAGCCCTTGTGTTGCAGTTGAGATACTGGATAGAGTACAGAATTAGCCTGAAGATTAGCCTAGGTTCTTTCTTCTCTCTCTTGTACTTCATGATAGCAAATATTCTAGTAGATTTATTTTTTCAAACAGGAGTGTGCATCTTATAATTCTTCTTTCTCTTCTTTTATTTTGGTGTAAATAACATGAAAGTCAACTGGGTGCTCAGTACTTTTCTTCCAAAAACAGTACAGGTAAATGCACTTTTAAAAGTGTCATTTCAGGAGGAAGTTCTAAGACTAAGCCTTAACTACCCCACAGTAGGAACTGAACAGGATCTCAGATATAGATTTTATTTTTAGCATTGCCACTGTTTCCTTGTGTGACCTTGGACAAAACATTGGATCTGTCCCGTTCCCTTGATTCCCACCTGTAGAATAAAAATAAGCACTTACTCACTACACGTGATAAGATCTGTTAATGATTGCTAAGTATCCAGCCACTCAGATGATGTGGGGCAAAGATTTCCCTTCACCAACAATATTTTAATAGTACTCATCTTCAGAAAGTATTTCATTAAATCCTGTCTAACTTCATGCATGTGTGTGTTCTCCAGACATTTATAGTTTCATAAAGGAAGATAATAGCTTGCTGAAACCTGCTCCAGATAACTCTTGTTGGAATGATCGTAGAGGAGATATGAATGAAACTCTCCATGAAGGAAAAGTGCGCTGTTACGTCCATATAATGAAAGAGGGATTGTGCTTCCGAGTGAATACTCTTGGGCTATATATTGAAGCTAACCGACAGGTGAGAAAAATATGGAACTGACATGTGGGAATGCAGCAATAGTTTATGGGGCATTTTATTATCCGGGGGTGGTTCCCTGGGTAGAGCTGAGGAGTGCGTGGGAATTGAACCGGTGCCATATTACCTATGCAAACTGCCGGGCTGGTTGCTGAATAGGGGCTTGAGACAAGAAAACAGCCCTGTCACAGAGTTACTCCACACCTTTGAGAGAGCCAGGAAAACCCCAGTCTGGATGTTTGTCTGTTTTGGGGGAGTGACAAGTCCTACAGCTGAAAAGCAAAGAAATCTGGAAAATAAGGCTAGGAGAAGCTTCAAGTGATCATCAAGTCAATGTCCTTCCTGCCCCAAAGGAAAATAAAAGATTGCAGGGGAGGACTAGAGGAATCCTGTACTAGTTAATAAGCTAATGGTTAAAAGTTTTTACTCTTAGTATTGTCTTTTTACTATACTGGCTGATAGAGCTTATGGGTTCTCACTTGAGTGTCCAAGTGATGAACTTTGTGTTGTTTGGAGAGGACAGTTTCCTCTAGTTTTGAAAGACCAAGTGCAGAAGGGAAAGCCTTAGGGTTTCAGAAGCGGGACTGGGAGAGCAGTGCAGTTGTATTGGGAGACCTGGAGGCAGTCGCTTCTGTGCCTCTGCTCACAGATTGAGCAGATTTCTTTTTATTAAAATGAATGAATTTATGCACATTTGAATTGCAGCATGTCGGAATAAGTTCACACGCTGAAATTCTTTCTGCTGGGCGCCTGCAGAGGAGCACAGAAATAAAGTGATTCGTTTTGCATGTAGAGGCATGAGTAAGAAGATAAGGAGGCAGCATTGCTGTCAGAGACGGAAAGATTTTTCCAAGAATATCAGGAACAAGTGTGCCCAAAGGGTTAAGGGAGAATACCACTGCTAGGGGAAGTGTGCGTGTACATTTGGCAGCAGCCACTTCAGTAAAAAGTTATTGAGTTGAGCCAGTCAGACTCCATGTGGTTTTTTGTGTTTCTTTTTTTTTTTCTTTTAACCTAAATATTCTACATTTTGGTCAGTTCAGGAAATGTGTTTGCTCCTGGGTGGTACATAGAATTAGTACTTTGAAATCACATTGGGGCCTTCAAACCTTGGAGAGGATTTTCCTTGAATTTTTAACTTTTCCAGAATGGTAAAATTTCTAAGGAAACTACATGGAGGTAAAACATAAAACAGAACTTAATCAGTGCTTGTGAGAAAGAAGCGCCACTGTATTTTGTTTGTCTTACTAATCCTGATAACAGATACACATTTACGTTTATCTGCATTCTTTTACCTGTTTATTTGGTCTCTAATGAACAGTTATGGTGAATGGTTTGCTCTTATCTTGGTCTTTGCAGACCAGATTCTGATTCCCTGGCTGCAAAGCTGAGCCCTGTAGCTTTGCTGTCCAGGAGGACAGGCTCCCCGAGCAGTAGCAGGGCCGTCCAGTAGCTTGGGAAGGAATGGCATCCTAACCCATTGCCCTTCTGGTGAGGAAACACTTTGCTCGTATCGTTTCGCTTCCAGCTGGGTTTCTGGATGCCTGCAGCCTGTGTGTGGGCAGGTGGGTTCAGGAGGGAGTTATCTTCAATAGCAGGAAATAGTTTCTTTGTAAGATGAATTAAATCCAAACATATCTTAAACCTTCCCTTGACCCAGGCACTCCCTCTGACTCCTGCCCCCTATCTAACCTTCCTTTTCAGAGCAAAATGCTTGAGATAGGAGCTTTCTTGGGTCACCCCTCAGGCTGCACTGTCATCAACTGATTCTAATAAGGGGTTTCCTCTGGCCAGTAAAACCCTTTATTTATTATTTATTTCATCACACCACCTTTCTACCGAGGAGGGCTTCTTGCCTTTCCTTGCTTCTTTCCCTTCTCAGGGACCTAAACCAGAGAGCAGGAATCTTTCCAGCCTATGCTGTAGGTATGTCCTGGGATCTGTCTATTAGAGCTGTCTGTTACAGCCGCCCTGCTGTGTGTGAGGTGAGGACAGCCTCCCCTCACCAAGCCAGCATAACTGAGGTGAATTGGCTTATTTTGCGGTACTTTGGTTATAGGGTGTTTTTCTGTAGTGTCTGCATCTTGGGCTGAAGGAACTAACCTCCTCTTTTGCTTTTGTTTCTTTATTTAAAAAAATAAAATAAAAAAAAGAAAAGGAAAAAAGAAAAACAAACAAAACACAAGTCTAGTGGGAAGGCAATCTGCAAAATGTTGAAGACCGGCAGATGTAGAAATGAATGATGCCTTAAGTGAAATGTTGGAGGTGTGACTGTTCCTCATTCATCTGTGTGAAATATCAACTGTAAAAATCTTATGATATAAAAACCACTATTTAACCATCCTTGCATACTGAAAGGGAAGGGTGCTGGTCGTGTGAATATCCAAACAATTTCCTGGAAGCACCTAATTTGAGACCTTGAGGGCGTTTTTTTGTTTGTTTTTCCTATCTGACTCCAGATTCTTTGAATTTATGGGATCCACTTCTTTATGGTCACTCACAAGCCTTGTGCTCTTGTTATCCCAGCTTTCTAAGAAAGTGGTTTGACACAATCATTCTGCGTGGCAGCACCTCCATAGCAACTTTGAATTTTCTGGCAACTTTGAGCCAAATTGAACGGAGCAGTAAAGATCTCCAAGATAAAACATTCCTCACAATTTTGTAAAAGTAAGCACCTGGATGGAGGAAAGAGACATAACGCGTGCCCCTTCCCGCTCCCCTGATTCCATCACCGTGCTGAGAGGCAGGCTGCCTTCCCAGATGACCCACTCATGGTCTTTTAGGACTCACGGATTAATTTGCCACCTCGCGTCTGTTCCGTGTTTCTTTGGCCGCCCCCTCCGTCGTGCAGCGATGCGTCAGAGCCTGCCTCAGCGCTGCGAGTCCGTGCGGCGCTGTGCGCTGCGGCGAGGCTCCCGCCGCCCCGAAACCCCTGTCTGCGCTGTCGTCACCTCTGCTGCCGTGTGTGACCTTGGCCCTGCCGGGCGCCTGGAGATGCAGAGTGCCTCAGGCTGTTCTTTTGCCCAGAAAAGGAGGAATGATAGAGTGATATCCCTTCGTTCTACTATGCTGGCTCCCCTTTCTTTTCAGGAGCCAGTTTCAGAATTGCTCTCCATGGATTTGTTCTTGGCTACCTCATGGACCTTGTCTCTCTCTATTACCATCTCTGCTTTGTCTGCTTATCTAACACCTGCCTTCTCTCTGTCAAGAGCCTTTTCTTCCGCAGCTTTCTACCATCTGGAATAGCCACTCGATCAGCTTCAGTTTCTTTCTGCTTAAACATCTGAAATACATTTCTGTTGCCTATACCTCAGCTTGCTGCCTTATAGAGTGGGCTGAATGTAGTCACCTTTTAATGCCACCTTTTAATGCCTGTTTACTCTGTTTTATATTCGGTACTGCTTGGCTGTCATGCACGTGTTACTGAAAGGTACAAAACATGTGGAATTGCGGTGGAAAAGGCAGATGCTGTGTAGTGGTGTATGGAGTCTTGCTCTGCTCTGCTGGATCCAACCTGCTTGCTGGTGCCGATCCAATCCTGCTTCACAGGTGGGAGGCTGAGTCGAGCGGAGACACGCAGTGCACTGCACTGGAAGTACACCTGCCTCCTTTATAAAATGGGAAGATGATAAACTGCACATCTGGATGTAGATTCAAAATGCAGGAACTTATATTTTCCTGCGAATTGTTTATCGTAGATGCACAAGTGCTATGAAAACCAAAGCCTGCCTTGTGCAATTTGTATAACATGCTGATACATCAATGTCATATTAACAAACAACATGGATTTCTTCTTCTAGGTTCCAAAGCTATTGCTTAATCTTGGTTTAGAAGAACCACTGATTCATGTATCTGCACAAGTCACTGACAGAGGCATGGTAAGTCTTCCTTCTACCTCCCTCTGCTCCTTCAAAGTTGTCTGCTTGCCCTTCACTTCAAGAAGTGCTTGCTAGAATTCAGTCCCACTGTTGGAAATGAAGCCGAGTTCTGAAGTACAGATGACCATGTGAATGATAAGGCCCAGAGTCTCCTGTTGGACTCACTGTGTGTTCCTGCCTTGCATTTAAAAATGTTCAGTAAAAGTGCTGCCTTATCCCTGAGTCATACACTGCAGTCATTCGTGATAGCTGATCCGTTAATCCATTTGATTTGTTTCCCAAATGGCACCAAAGTTCAAGGGATCAATATTTTAGCTCTAATTTTTAACTAGAGCATTTTGGTTAAACCCCAGCTTCAAGCCTTCCTTTTACAGGCCTCGCCGTGCAAGCCTAGTGAAACCAATGAGCCCCAGTAGAGCTATTCTTACAACACTTGCCTCTGTGCCTAAGGGCTACAAAGCTGGGACAGCTAATGGACTTTTGCTGGCCTAATGGACCTTGGGAAAACTAGCCAGCCATCTGTGCAGGGGATGGGGCCCATATTAATTTTTTTTCCCTACCAATGATAGAGGGATTCCTTGTTAATGAGTATTGGACACATGTGCAGCCACACGGAGCATATGGAAGGAGAACACTTATCAAAGAGCTCCAGAAGCTAGCAGTGAATTTGGGCTGATTTAACTTGCAGTTGTGGTTCTGTGCCCCTGTTTTCATTCTGTTCTCCTCTAGGTTGGATCAGACAGCATCATTGGGTCATCCACGCAAGTGGGGGAGAAGACATCCATTAAACACTCCATCATTGGCAACATGTGCACCATAAAAGACAAGGTTAAGATAACAAACTGCATCATCATGAATTCTGTCACAATTGAGGAAGGGTATGTCACCTCTTTGTGTCTCAGCCCCCTAAATTTGTTGTTTTCCAGTTGAATGGAGTCAGGAATAGTAAGAGATTCTCAGGTAGGTCAGTTGATCCTAGATGTGTTTCTACGGACTGACTCAGAAATAACTCTCTATAAACAGATCTCAAAGGCTCAAGTGAAATAATTTAATTAGAAGACTGTAGGCTTGGAACATATATTCTTCTTTTAAGAAGGGATCATGAATGCCTAAGTAGTTTAAGTGGATGAACTTCTGCGTCATCCTCCCAAGCTTTATTTTAGTGACTAGATCTGTGAGCATACTTGAATCATTTGGGATAAGAAATATACTTTAAAATGGTACACTTAACAACTAAAAATGCTTTTAGTGCGTTTGAACATTACAGCCCCGCCTAAAATGTAATTTTATTAGGTCCTTTTTTGTCATCTTGTAGCTTTACTTTACTATTGCAAGTGCTGAGTAATAGAGTAAGTGAATAAACTTTTAAAAGAGAAAATCTGCCAGCTAGTAGAGGTTTCCCATGCATTAAAGACACTATATAAATAGGTAGCGCTGATCATTCATTTTCTAAATGTGGGAAAGGTGGCCTATCCATAATTGTTGATGTCTGCATGCCCCTATCTTTCCATGCAAACTGGCTTCCTGTGGATGTCAGTGGAAAGGAAACTGCTGATTGAGTCTGTGCAGGCCTATATAAATTCACTGCTCCTTCATGGCTTGAGGTTTGCCTAGAGCCTCAGGAAAAAGGCCAAACTCTTAAAAAATGCCAAGTTGGTTTTCAAAGTTACATATCTGGAAAAAAAAAAAAACCCAAAGGATGTGGGGCATATGGAGGGATACTACTGTTACATAACTAAATTACAGGTAAGTAGGGTACCTTACTGCCAAGTGTTTGTCTTTAATATAAATCCACAGTAATTTCAAGCACATCATAAATCAGAATTCCTTTGAGTATGGAAAATAGCTAGTTTTCAGTTCAATTGCAAATGGATCCAGTATGGCTATTTCACAAGCAGTGCTGTCCTAAGAAGTACCAGCACCTCTCTGGTTTGAACATGAGACCCTCTGTCATTTTGATTAATGAATTGATGCCACAGTCATAATGGTATGGTAGCTTTACCATTAAATCACAAAGGAGGCTAAGTGTGTAAACAGCGGTATTTTTATGAAGAGTTCCAAATGAGTAGTGTTTATCTCCACTGGTATGCAGTAATATTCTCCACTAAATCCTAAACAGAGCTCAAGGTTGTTGTCTTAAGCACTCCACAAAGTTCTGTGAGTATTATATGGTATGATACTATTTTTATGAGAGAAAAATCAACATTTTGGGCAATATATTTTTTTTAATTTCTGAAAATGGATTTCATCCCTGGTGCCTCTCAGAATAAAAGCACTGTAAAACCCTTGAATGAAAAATCTGGTGGTCCTAGGGGGTTCACACCCTCAGCTGCTGCATAGACATCACACATTGATGTACTAGAATCTAATTTGCCGTGTTTCCTTTCAGCCAGAATTCAGATTGTACACTTCAGAGCTTTATTTCAAAGCATACTGTAATTCATATTGCAGAGATCTGCACAGATACTGTGCTAATAAAGTATTTCTTATTGCATCATGGAATCTTTAAGATTAGAGGGGTGAGAAGTCACAGATACACAGGTAGTGAGATTTGGAAATAGTTTTAGCTACTACATTTTCTTGAAAGAAGGCTTCTAACGTAGTGAAAAGTTTCTTTGTGTTTTGGCCTTTGCTTCTTTTATGGCAGTTATTAAAGCTGATTTTTTAAAATAAAATACTGATGATTCTGAAACATTTTGATAGATCATTTGCAACAGGTGGATAAATTTGATGAGATTTTGTTTAATCTGTCCGCAATGGACAGCTCCCCTTTCCAGACGTCTCCTCTCCCAGGCATCTCTAAATAACTCAGGCATTATCTAATCAATGACTTCATAAAACGTCCTGCACAGTAGTTGGGAAGTCAGTAAATATTGGCTGATATAAGTCAAAATGGGCGTAAGAGAAATCTATTAAGAGATATAATTCATTTTCTGTTGCATAGCAAATGTCCCAAGGTTCAGTTGTTTTTAGCATCATCTAAGGTATTCTATTTTAGAAAAATCTGGAAATGCACCAAGAAATGGATAAAAACTGCATGATTTAAAGAATATATGTTATAATGCAGATGTGAGCTGCCTGACTAAACTATTGGTCTACTGGTGTGCTATGCCCTAGTCACATGCGAGTGGTAACTGAAGGCCAGTCCCAGCAGAGTTCATTGCAGTGATACCACCTTGAAGTTGTAGGCTGAGAAGGCTGCAGTAGAGTACATGTTATGGAAAAGACAAGGCCATTTAGACAACCCAAGGAAGGCATAAAGACCATTTTTGAATGCTTTGAATGTTGGGAGATGGGAACAAACCAATACAAAAATTGCTGAGCATTCTGAGTTTATTTAGCAAGATGTGTGATTATAAGTGGCACTGCCTTGGTAATTCCTTTTACTGCTTACATCATGTCTAGCTTCTCTAGACTGAATAACACTTTTTTTTTTTTTTGGTCTGGAAAAGTAGTCAGCAGCTTCAAATCACTATATTAATACAGTAGAAAAAGATAAAAAAGTTTTACACTTGGACTTTTTTTCTTGTGATGTTGTGAATCCAGGAACCTGTTGGACCTGCTATATATAGTTTCTGGGGCTTTGGGATTCACAGATTGCATCTCTAAATCAGAAAGAGGTTTTGAATAGCCTCATAATGTTTGGTATCAACTTTTGAAAAGCATAAGCAGGTTCTTTCTGGGCAGCGGGGATACCATGAGGTGCCTAGCACAAAACTCGGTTCCTGTTGTTAGACTGTGGTTAGTTCATTATTGGAGCAACTGAGGCTTTGACCTAGGCGATATCCTTTGAAACAGTCCCTTCCAAGCTAAATAGATGTGGGAAGCAGGCTTCATTTGAACAGTGTCCTTGCCTTCTGTATGGAAATTATGATCCAATCTCAGCAATGATTGATGTGTTGAATAGTCTGGAGGACCAGTAGCAGGGTTTTTTGTTTTCCCAGCCCTGGTATGCAATGTTTCTATAACATTATATATGTCTTCACTGAAGTGATTTGAGTAGATATGGATCTCCCTTAGAGCAGATTACAGGGGATTAAAGAAGTTAGTAACACAGCCAAAATAGTTGGTAGTTGTCCTTTCTTAATGTGTTTCCCACTGTGCAGCTAATTCTTCCATCAATGAGACAATAAAATAGTGAAGATTACATATGTGCTGAATGATGGACATACTTGACCAAGCTGGGAGGGGTGTAATTTATAGAACAGTGCAAGTGCTGAGAGATGCTGCCTGCCCAGGTGACAGGCTGCAGCAGGGAAAAGGTTCTTATTTCCCTGGATGGCTCCCCAGAGCTCAGTGACAAATGACTGCACTGAGTTACACAGTTGGAGAAAATCTATTAATCGAGCTGAAAATGTAAGTCCCTTGAAAACTTTGTGTATCTGAATATGCCCTCAGCAGCTGTGTGCGTCTTCAGTGTGTTCAGCATCTTGGGGCTGAGCCTTCTGTTTGCTCCGTTTGCACTAGAGGAGAGACTGCACTACTGCATTC